TATGCCATTCGTAAAAGGCAATTTTATGGCAATTTTTGGCAAACAATTAGACATTTATAGAAGCTTAAAGATAATATTTTCGTACATTCACTCATTGATGTTTTTTTTTTTTTAATCCCCATGACATCAGTCTTTAATTCTTAAATAAAAGACCCATTATTTTAATAAATTGACACATAATTTTATTCTCATTAAAGAGGACTTCAATGAAATTCCTATTTGGATTAAAATTCTTAAACTCCCTTTGTGATTTTTTTTTGTTCCAATATCTCCAAAATTATTATTAAATTGGCATTCAATTAGTTTTCAACCCTCTTATGCCATCCCACTCTAGGCTTATGCTAGGATTAGTGTACAAATATCCACAACGTCGACTCTACCTTATCACATTTTTTATTAATGTTAAGGGCAAAAGATATTACATCATGTTATTTATGAAAAATAGTTTTCATATACTGCAAGTAATACTTTTGCCTATGAGACTTTAAATTGTTCTAAATGATTTAATGACAATACCAATTACTAATTATGTGTACTACTATCTTGGTAGAAGTCATAAGAGAAGTAGGGATAATGTTTGGATCAATCCTAAAGTAGTTCGTGTTACTTCCTTATTATTAAAGAGCCTCTGACTACTCCTAGTTTAAATATTCTCATTATCACACCAACTGCTAGGAGTAGAGGATCGTCTTTTTCTTCATGAAAACATTGTCAAGATGTCTTCAACAGCACAACATTTAAGTCTTAATGGGAATAACACCATGACCCATGCAACTCACTTATTTGTTAAAGTTAATGGCATAGCTAGTTTGATTTGTGTTGATATAATTAGTTCGGCTAATGGTCATTTGTCTAAAGCCTTAATGAATACTACTAAAAAAATGTATTCTAATGAGTTAATACGAAATAATAATATTACTACACAAAATATGGTTCTTTCTAATTCTAAAACCACTAAGGGTAGACAAAAAAAAGGGAAAGGCTCCCAGGCTTTATATCAACTATGTGTTATCCCAATATCTTGGCCTAACATGTTAGATGCCTAAATAACGAAGCAAAAATCACTAAATATATGAGTTTAGTTGAATATTAAAAAAATTGATATTCATTTTATCTTCAAACTAAAAGTTTCTCACTTTTTTTTACTCATTATCTATTAAATATTCTAATAATTTCACTTTTAAAGGCTTTTACAAAACCTTGATTTATCTTCACATGGTTCAATATGGATTGAGTGGAGTGCTTCAAGAGTTTCGTTTACTATCCTTATATCACATTTTCAATATATATATTTTATCTACTTTGATTAAATTCATAATGAACTTTATGTTGAAAATAAAGCTATGGAAAAAAAGGATTCATTAAATAATATTTACATTAATGCTACTAATGTAATGGATCCTTGGATAGTTTTAGATGATTTCAAATGCAATTAATACACATCAAAAAAATTTTGGTGTACTAATCACCTAACATTTTTTTTTTTGATGTACTAATCACCTAACATTTAAAGTTGGTTGATTTAAAACATCTTCAACTGTGAACTTATGTACCTTCCAAAGTCTAATTTCTAAATTAGTTGGTTTAATAATCAGTTGGACAATCCAATTAAATATTTATTGGATAGGGCTATATGTAATAATTCTTGGAAAAATGTTCACCTCAATTTTATTTCAAAGGAATTTCTCTCTAAATTTCTAATAGTAATAATTCTTATCTCTTTAAGTAAATAAAATATTCTTAAAAACAAAATTTTATATAAAAATTATTGGAGCAACTTCCTAATTTTTATATTAACTTTGACGTCTCCAAAAAGCTAGTCATGTTTAAACTTATTTTTACATTTTGTAATAAACTTTGCAATGTTAAATCTGCTAAGAAGATTGCTAACTAGAAGCTTCTCTCTTACATTTCCAATACTATTATCGACCTTAATGTTGATCAATTTAAAATTTTCATCAATCTAAATTAAGCAACCATTATATAGATCTCTTCTCTAAGATGTTCTAAATAAACAAAAAGCTAACTGATGTTATGATCTCTGAAAATAAATGGAACAGATAATGTGTCAAATGTTTTTATCTCATTAAAAGAGAATATGATTTAAATTTTTTTTATGAGAGAATTTAAATAGTAATTTGAATTATATTAAAGAGCTTCTTTGAAAAGGAAAAAGTTCCTATTTTCAAGAGAAAAGTACTAGGGAATTTATCATCTACTTCTCTGCCTTAACTATAAAGATGTTGTTAATGATTTCTATGATGTTAATATTCTTGTTGGTTATAAGTTATCTTTTGTATATACTCATTCCAATTAGAAGCTTTTTTTAATGTTGACATCAAATTGGCTCTATTTAGTATTGGTATTGATAAGACTCTAGGGTTGGATGGCTTTACATCCAAGTTTTTCTAATATATATGGTACATTTCCCAGCCTTCCTCTATTGATTTTTTTCAGTGATTTCTTCTCTTTTAGACTTCCCATTACTGTCAAGTACTCGAGCATCACCTTAATTTATAAAAACTTTCATTCTAAAACATTAAATGATTGTAGGCTTATTTAAGTTTTGTAATACTTTGTATAATGTGATAGCCAAACTTATTATGGGCAAATTCTAAAATTTATTCATGTTGCTTAACCTAGTTTCACAAGGAGGTTGGATATTATTGATAATATTATTTTAACAAATGATGTATTTGTTGGGTTTAACTCTCATAATTCTTCCAAGTAATTTTGTTAGGTGATTGACATTAAAAGGAAATCAATAAAGTTTTTTATACAATAGACTGAGAACTTTGAGTTTCTCTGAGATCTTTGTTTTGTGAATTATTACATTTACTTCTAATGCTCATTTCTAGGAGGTTATAAATGGGAAATTTAAAGGCTTCTTCCATCTGCTTGTGAACCTCATCAAGGGTAATCTCTATCTCCTTTTTTGCTTACCTTCATCATGGATGATTTTTTAAGACTCTTGAATACTATTGTTGCAAATTTGAAGTACAAAAGGATATGAAAAAATAACACTCTCACCACTCATTTGATTTATACGAATGACTTACTATTTTTTGGTAAACAAAAGTTAACACTATTACTTGCCTTCTCTCTTTTCTTGATTTATTTGAAATGGCCTTTGAACTCAATGTAAACAATAGGAACTCTACTATATGTTTTTCTAAGGCCATTGGTCTTGCTACCAAAGATCACCTCTGTCATATCACGGGGTTTAGATGCCAAAAGCCTTCCATAAAAACACATTAGTATCATTATCTCTTCTTCACTAAGGTTGTTAACAATGCCAAAATCATGGATATAATTCAAAATTAGCTTAATGGTTTGAGGTAGAAGCTCATTTTGTTGGCAACTTTCAACTAGTATGATCAACTATTTGGAAATACTAGTTCTTTGATTTAGATCCATTACTTTACTAATGCATTTGGGCCTTCCTTCCCTTGATTCCATGATGCTACTAATTACAGTTACTTTCAGACTAAATCAGTTAGTAGATCAAAACCATTTTGACAATTCAGCTATACTATTGCTTGCAAACTTGGGAATTGGATTTCTATTTATGTAAAAAACAATTGTGACAACTTTACTTCAAAAATGCTTAGTTCAATAAGAATGCTCTATTGGAATCTTTTGGCAACTCTGTTATCCATTGATTTAATTGGGATTTCATAATTAAAATAAAAGACTATTAGGTACTGTTGGGACATGGAATTTCACTGATGCCACTTGTTCAGAGAGCTCTCCTTGCAAGCAACAAATTTTAATGATTCCTATCCTTCGACTCTCGATTGCCATGGAATCTCAGATATGCTTTTGATGTCGTTTGCTCTGGCTATATACGGCACTCTTTTTCAGCTCGGCCGTAATGCTTCTTGGCCTCCTCTGTTGGCCTGCTGTCTTTGGCTGACAGCACCTTGGTTCTGTATCAGATTTATCACCATTTGGATATCTGGTTTGGAGTGCTTACACGAGGAATCTATGGCATGCACTTGGCTAAACTATTTGAAGAAGGGTTGGAAATATTTTCATTTTTTTTTTCGAGCACGGACATGAAGTTTATCATATATGTTATTTAACAGATGTAATCTTTTCGCTGCATCCATGATAAGTCACGCATCCGAGTGCATTTGGATAGAACCAATCATATACTTCAGATTTATTTGGGATCACTTTTATTTTTTATCTTTTTTTTTTATTTTAATTTTTATTTTAAAAACAAATTTATTTAATACATTTCTTCATATTTTTTTTTTTATTTTTGAAAAAAAAAATTTAACTTGATTTTAAAATCACTTGAAATACCCAAGTGTTATTTTAAGTGTATTTAAAAATAACTAAAAAAAAACTATAACATGCCAAACATATTTTTTTAAAATAAAACAAACAAAAAATAAAAAATAAAAAATAAAAAATGATCCCAAATAGCTCCTTACATATCCACTATAACATGCCAAACATATTTTTTTTAAATAAAACAAACAAAAAATTAAAAAAAATAATAATAATAAAAAATGATCCCAAATAGCTCCTTACATATCCATGTATTTTGCCTCACTAAGATTTCATTTGAAACATCCATGACGGTCATCGAATTTCTTTTAAAAATTATGTTCAACACAGGAGATGTGGTGCAATCTAAAATGACAAAAAATTATCATTCTTATGAAAACTTCCAGAGACACTCTGTCCTGCTATTTCAACAAATAAAATTTTTACAGACTTCAACATTTGTCAGAAGCACTTCTAAAGCTCAAAGAAAAAAAATCATGTCTTTATTACACACACAAAAGAATATAATTGTCCAAGAAAATACATGAAAGTAATATCAACGAGTTACAATATTGTTTGGGTCCCCAAAAAAAAAACGAGAGAAGAAACTATACATCAAAGAATGGATAAATAATAATGCAAACCTAGTAGCAGCGCAGCTTTACATTTCAACAAGTTCAGAGCATTTTCATATTATAAGATACACAGACATGGCCTCAATAAATTATAGGATCCGTACAATTACAAAACAGAAAATATTGGAATCTCTTGTGAGGGAGAAAGGATAATCCATATCGTCTTTTCGCTTCCATTTATGGCTTTTTACATGCCAAAATTCTAAGAACGCAGTTGCAATGCAATCTACCTTGCTATCTCAATCTTCCCTCTAAAATTATATTTACATGGCAAACCTAGAAAGAATTGAATTATCTATGAACCCCCTCTAAAAATTGGCACCAGATAGCTTGCTTTGCAGAAAAATATTTCTGGTTGGATAGACCGAAGTCGTAGGTTGGATTGAAGAGAAGTAAACCTAAAACAATGCATCTTGTCGTCATAACCCCTCAAAATTACATTTTAATGAAATGCCTATTCTGATCCAAAAATGCATTCATGTTGGGCGGACGAAATCACCATGCTACTAATACATAACGGACATGGACAAAGATTTAGTATAAGGGAATGTTTTTTATCTCCAGATTGCAAAATACGAATTACTTGAACTAATCTACAAATGAGACGCAACCAAATCTGCTGTTGAAGATGGATTTTCATATCAAACTCTCATTCTAGAAAAATCTGAAAAGTTTTTAAGAGGAAAATATTAGGGAGGAGAAATAAACCAAAGTAGAACCATTTAACATATTGAAAAAGGAATGTGGAACTTGTGTACCTCTTGAAGGTTTCTTTCCTTCCATAGCTTCTTTCTTAGCCTGGCAGCCACGACAAAGTAGCGGGCCATCCCAAGGTCGAACTTTTGCTGATTTTGATGAACCAGCATGTACCGAAATGCCCTCACCAGCTTTCAACTCAACCTGACAAACAGCACATAAAAGTAACTTGAAAATGTTGCACACTGGATATACCATGTTTAACCTGCAAACAACAAAACAAACACATGAGATAAACTGCAATTCCAAGATGTAAAAATGTCGAAAATAAAATAATGCAGAAATACGAGCAGAAGATAAAATAATGGAGAAAACTTCTCAATACTTAATTTTTGTTCTTCGCTTTGTACAAAAGAGGAGGTGTATATACATCACCAATACGCATTATACAAAAGGGCAAAAATAAGAAAGGGTCGGCGATCCTACACAAAAGCACATGAATTACAATATGAGGACAATAGAGGAATTGATCCAACGGCACAAGGCCTCTGTGTTCTTATTATGATCGGAGAGTCAGTGGGCTCACCGTAGAATGCATTGCTGTAGCCCATTACTGTAGCGCAATATTGTAATGTGGTACTATGGCACGGTACTCTTATAGTAATTCAAAACTATCCCTCAAAATTAATGGTAGAGATCCAACATTCCAAGGTTGCCAATAATATTTCAGATCGTCTCATATCATTTTGATCCAAAAAGTCTGACAAATCTATCAGGCAATGGCTCTGAACTCAGCTTTAGCATTTGATTTTGAAACAAGGGTTGCTTCTTATTTCTTCAAGTTGTGAGATTTTCTCTTTAAAATGTATAGTACCTAGAAGTGGATCTTTAATCCACAGGCGATCCCTATATTATGCAAATTTGAATCCTTCAATTTGTAGGGTAACATAGATTTTGTATAAATTTCTTTTTTTTTTTTTTGTATTTGATTTAAAATATTTGAGAATTTTACAGACTACATGAAGGTGGAATTATTTGTGTTTTTGTATGAATTTGTTTAGTGGAATTTGGCTCATATATAAAAAGTTAAGACGGGTGTGGGAAATATATAAAAAGTGATGTTAAGACGGGTGTGGGATATATACAACAAGTTTTCCAATGACATTTTATATTATCTCATAAATACGCTAGTTTTTATTCACTAAGATCCAATTTTTATACTCAATTGGAGTTTCACATGGGTACATTCTATCATCTTGACTTCTTCAAGCAGATCCATAAAATATTTTTGGTTCACGAAAATATCCCTTCTATAAATTTAACACGTCTATTCCCAAGAATTATATTAGTTTTCTAGTTCTTTCATTTTGAATTATTCAACAAGCCATTTTCTGAAAGTTCTTCTCTATTGATTGTCATCTCCAATAATAATTATATTGTCCACATATACAATAAATATATAAATTTTATCATTATGCATACATTTTTCAAAGAGACTAAAGTCACATTGGTTTTGTTTATATTTAGCTCGTTCCACAGACCTTGTAAATCTGTCAAATCAGGCTATTGCTGATTGTTTCAGTCTGTATAAGGCCTTTTTCAATCTGCATTCCTGATTCTTTTCAAGGAGCTATCAAATCCTAATGGTGAAGCCATAGATCTCTTCTTCAACATCCCCGTGTAAGAATATATTTTTTTATCATATTATTATATAAGCCACCCATAATTTACCACTAAAGATATCAGAATGTGAATAATATTCATTTTTTTAGTATAAGCAAAAATTTCTTGATAATCAATCTCACATAATTGAGTATATCATTTTACCAACTATCTTGTTTTATACCGTTCAGGTTCTCATCTGCTCTTTTTACCATGAAGATTTATTTGCATCCTATTGTGTTCTTGACTTTTGCTAATTCAACAATCACTTATGTATGATTATTTCCTAAGACATTCACCTCCTCTCTCATGCCCTCTATCCAATTTTTATTTTCAGCTATGTCAAATAGAGTATATGAGATGGAAATGAGGTTGGCGTTAATGTTGATTAGAAGCATTTTATGTGATGGCAAAACTTTATGAAATGACGAGTACTTAGAATATGAATTAGCAGTGAGCTAATCAATTTTACCTGCTAATAGTTCTGAATCTTGGACTTACTAGAGATCTTGCTAGCTTTATTCCTTCTTGTATAAACCTCAAGAGGCATAGTTGGTACAATGCTTGAATTTATAGGATTTTGAGTTACAAGCACGTCAAGATGACATATCATCAAATTTATTTTCAGCAGGGAATTCCCTCCTTGAAAATGAGTTTGCTTGAAGAAACAATAAGTTTCATTAAAAGTGACATTCATTGAAGTGGAAAACTTTTTCTTGATAGATAATAACATTTATATCCTTTTATGTGATAAAATATACAACATTTAAGAGCTCTTGGATTAAATTTTTTATCTATGTTGTTTATGGATATGTACATAATCAATGCATCCAAAAATTTTAAAAGATATCTTTGATAAACTGCTTATAGGAAAAAGTCTCCCAAATAATTTAAAAAGACTTTTAAAATCAATTATTCTAGAAAGTATTCTATTTATTAAATGAGTAGTTATTAGATCAACTTTTCCTCACTTTTATTTTGGTATTTAATCATGGAGGAGAAATGTCCTGGCCGCCTCTAAAATGTTGTAATGTTTTATTTGTTCCGTTTTTTTTAATGAGTATCAAAGTAAAAGGATAAGTGGATAACAGTCTCTTTCTAAATAAATGAAGATAACATGTTATTAAAATAATCATGGGCATTATCAGTCTGAAAAATTTGTTGTTAGAGTTAAATTAACTCATTATCATGACAATGAATATAGAAAGTCTAGTGCTAATATTGAACTACATACAATCAAGTCATTCGAGTGCAAATATCAATAAACATAATAAAACCGACCCCAAAGATACTGGAGATTTTACGGGATCGCCATATAACAAAATGAATAAAAAAATAAATAAAGGTTCTTGAGTTACTTTCAAGGAAAAAAATAATGTATACTAATTTCACCAATTTCACAATAAAAATACTTATGTCTGTAGTATACACTAAATATTTTTAAAAGAAAGGTGTCATAATCTATAATAGTGTGTCCATATGATATCGATGGTGTGATAGATGAAGCTGTATAACTATTGATTTTTGACCCTTAAGAAAGAATAATTTATCATTTTCTTTAGTTTATCCAATTGTCTTGCTCGTTAGGTCCTGAAAAAAATTGTGACCAGAAAAACAATGACTTCGCAACGATGATCTTTGAAAAAAAATAGTGACCAAAAAAACTAGTTGTAAAGTTTGGAACAAGCAATATGTTATTGAGGATTAAATTGAAAGGAATGAGATGCATCTTGTTCTCAACAGTTCCTAATGATCCATCTGCAAAATTTATTATTTTATTGCTATAACAAAGTCATATTGCCTATGGTCCCTTAACTTATCATCCAGTAAATAGAAGAATTATTGGAGGTACTGAAAACATATAAATTAGAAAGCATGTCATTCATAGCAAAGGAATCAAAAACTGACCCGACACGTCAAATCGACTTGAAAAGTCCAAGTTAGGTTGACTAAAAAATTTTTTTGGCCAAGTTCAAATAATAAATCCTAACTCTTTTTTGGGTCGGATTGGGGTTGACCTTCCAACTAGAAATTGATAGAAAACTAATTTCCTAACCATAAATTGACTCAAAATCAACCAATAAACTTCAAATTAACCAGACATTGACTCAAAATTAACCCAAATTTGACCTAAAAGGTTTTTATGTCTTACGTTAAACGAGTTAACATGTCAAGTTCAAGTCTATGGCTTGAAAGTGGGTCTTGTTCTAGTTGGATATTCGAGTTGGACTTCTGACCCATTTAATATTCAGGTCAAGTTCAAATTAAACACTTTCAAGTCAGGGCAAATTTGGTTCAAACCTGAACCCAACCCACAAACCCAATTTGACAACACTAATTTGAACCAGAAACAAAATTCTATCGTTTTTCCTTAAAAATTGAGAATTTTTTTTAATTTATCAAACTCTTTTGAATAGCAGTTCTTACTCCACTAGACATGCTTAATATTTTTAATTTTCTTTATTTCCAACCATAACTTTGGGACTTTTAGTAAAGTATTTATCTTTGATGTGCATTTCTTTTTTAACAATTATATCAGAGATTATTCTTTAAAGTATATTTTTGTTAGTCTTTCAAAGAAAATTCAATGATAGGTGGATGAGTGGCTTTACACTTAAAGACAAAATACGAAATGATTATATCTGTGATAGGGTTGGTGTAGCTCCTATGACGTACAAAATTAGAGAAAGTCGTCTTAGATGGCTTGGTCACATTAAGCGTTGACCATCTTATGATCCGATTAGGAGAGAGGATGTTTTAGATTCGACTTGTGTTAAGAAAGTCAGAGGTAAACTTAGGAAGACTTGGGCTTATTGTATAAAAAATGATCTTAATTTATTAGAACTAAATGAAAATATGACACTAAATAGGACGCAATGGAGAAAAAGGATTCGTGTAACCGACCCCACGTAATGGGATTAAGGTTTTGTTCTTGTTGTTGTTGTTGTTTCAAAGAAAATTCTATGAAAAATTTTCTTATCTTGAGATTCAGAAAATATCAAGCCAATATCATTGAAAAATAAAAGAATAAAAAATTAAAATTCCGACACAATCTTCCTTTTGTTTTGTCAAAACATGCTCCACAGTACCATAAAAGCTTTACATTCCTTCCTATTTCTATCCTTATGTTTCTTAAATCACTCTCAAGCTTCTGATTTAGCCCCTTCTCTATTTCATGTATATCACAACTTGTACTGTCAAGTTAAAATTGAATGCTTGTGTAAGCGTTTGATGTCTTAAGCAAAAGTATAATGGCAAGATTCTTATACACTTCTCGTTCAGAAAAAAGGTAACGAACTCAAATCATAAGTTTTGTTGCTGAACATATAGTAAATATTACTCTACTATAAAAAGGGGTGATGAAATATAAAATAGCGCTAGCTAGCAATAAAATATCAAATATTATGGAAATAAAGAATAACATTTTTGCTGTTTGTAGCTGCTGACGTTTACATTCAATGTATAGAGGACAAAAAAAAATTAAAGAATGAAAGAACTGGGATCATGTATTTCATGTAAAATACACTGACCTCTGAGCAAGTACTGCAGAACCATCTTCAAACAATTCCTCCACTGCATACGGTTCAAAATAACTTCTAATTAAATGATGAGATGGTGACTCGTCGGGCTTCTTGCGGAACATATGTTTTAACCCCTTCATTCCTTGCCTCTTAGGTAGAGCAACAGAAGGCGATATCTTCTCCGGTGGCAATAAATCAACAACTATACATGTAGTATCATCTCTAAGTCCCTTTACAAGCACAGCTTCCTACAATTGGAATATGTATATTTGGTTAGCAGGTGAGACAATTTTCAACTGATTAATTAAAAATCATCATTATGAAATACTTTAACAATTTTGTTGGCAGCAACATCTGCTGGAAGGCCACGAGAAAAATCAAGTGCTGACTGGAAACTCAATGCATCCCACACGCCGTCACTAGAGATGATGAGGCGGCCACCTGCGTTTGATAGCTGCAAACATAGTATAGAAACAGCACCGGAACATTTCTATGTTAAATTGAAAGGTATAAAGTGAAAAGCCAATGTTAAGTAATCAAGTTTCTCTGTTAGTCGATGCAAGCAAAATAAACATCTTAAGTATGGCCAACCCAAGCAATTAGATTACAAATATAAATTAAAATAAGTACGCCATAAAACAGAATAGTAAAACTATGACACACAAGTTTATAGCCATCAGCAACAAACCCAAACTATGCAAACCTGTGCTCATGATTTTCTAGTCTTCAACATCATTAAACTTATCCCAAGTCCCAATCACCTGGGGTCAATTATATAAATCTCCCTTTTTCTTTCATCATTGCTATGTTTTCCATAGACAGTTAAACCTACCTTGAGAAAATATTTCTACACAATTTTATCCATATTATCGTTGGACTGTCACTTTTTTTCTTCCTCATCACTGCCATTAGTCATATATATATCTAATTATATTTCCACTGCCTTAGTACAGATAGATACTAATCACATTGAAACCTAATATAAGCATTTCCTAATCTATCCCTCTATTGTTTATCATACATTCATTGTTGTATTCTAATTTCTGTCACACAATTTGTCCATACAATAACTACTTTAAAACCAAATGTTTTATTAAGTTTACCTTAAATTCTAATCTTATTCTAATATTAAATATACTCTTTAGACACTTGTTTATTTAGAACAACTAGCCTTTAGGCCCTTAAATAAAGTTATATTCTCATCAATATCACCATTCTTCCATATAATAAATCTAATAAATTAAAATCTGTCACACCACAGTATTACCTTATCTAATAATAAGGCTAACAATTAATAATATCACTCTAACTAAAATTGCATATTATATTTGCTCTACTAATCCTCAACACGTATCTTCTAGATGTATCTTCCAATATTTTAATTTTTAACTTATTTCAACATAGTCCAATTTGACTGTAACCGTCTTCTACTAAAAAAAAAATACACCAAGATACAATATTCTTCATATCTTTCGCAAACATCTCCAAAACTAGTACAAAAAATAAGAATTTAGAGTAGATCTCTGATGCAAATCTATTGTGGTAGTGAACACTTAAATCACTCCACAACTAAAAAAGTAATAAATGACATCATACATAGATTCCTAACTTCAACTGGCTTAAGCAAAAACATTTTTTTTTTAATTAGTGCTTACAAAATCAGTTCGCGTACTTAATAAAAAGTCTTTCTTAGGATCAATAAAAAACATAGGAAAACATTTCTTTGTTTTTTGTACAATCTCATTAATTGCCTTATACGAAAAAATAAAGTCATAATGAATCTATCGAACATAAAATCAAATTTATTGTTAAAATCGACATAGAGACTATATTCCATCTTCGATAAACCTTTTTGTATCACTTTTAATTTAACTTCCTCGATACTTTTTTAAATGATTTCTCAAAATAGCATTTATAACTTTCATGGCATCTTAAACATTAAATCGCACTTCTAATGCATCAAATTTGATCTCAATCTCTTGACTTTTTCTTTTACAATGGTTATTTTTTTTTTTTTACACAAAAACGTATTTATAAGATTTTTTAAATCCATATAATTATTACAAGCAGCCAGCATAAAACTTGTCGAAAAAAAATCAAAAATCATATAATTATTACAAGCCTCAGTAGCATTTACATAAAGTCAAAAGATATTTATTTTCTTTTATACCGTTATACTTTCCTTGAAACACTACAAAATATCATTACTTGATCTATTTCTATACTATCTTAAAAAATGCATAATTTTAAAGAAACTAATCATCTTATCACAATCAAGTTTGTCTCATGTATAGAATTTCAATCTATGTCTCTCTAAAATTTATCTTGAAAAATTTACAACTTTAATATACAAGTTAAATCTTAACTCAAGAAATTTATTTATTTTGCTCTATATTATGCTCAGAAGATATACATCCATAACTAATATTTATATTATGTGATCAAACTTTTTCTAGAAATCACTTCACAAATTTTGCAAAAGAGTTTCTTTCCTTATTGTATCGAGCAACCTATTGTAATTTGATTACTTCAATTTTAAAAGCATCATGTAAAGTTTTTTCCATATATTTCTCTCTATTATGTAGTACCAACCATGAATCCTCTCATTTTTCACCCTATCAAAACATATAATTTCATCTAACTAACTTCCAAAAATTATTCTCCTCAATCATACATTGCCATGGTTTATACATCTCCCCAGAATTTATTTTTCTAAATATCTTCTAGTAAAATACAAAGTAAGCACATGCAAAATGTTCTACCAAATGAGCAACTAAATGGAAATTACACTATCACTACTATTAACCTCAAATTTTTTTTCTCTCAACTCTATCTATTAGTATCCCTCCCCAATCCTTATTGTCAGTCCTCTCAACATATAATAGCTTATGCACTTCTCCAATGTGATTGGATGCTCCCCTTTCCATATAATTTCATACAAAGAAACAATATTAGTTTTTTTAATCATTTTAGCCACTTATTCTCATCTTCCCATTTAAAATCCTCAAATTTCATTGAACAAAAATAATCTTAATCTTAAAACTAATCAGTAATTGTCAGTTTTTATCATAATTAGGCCAAGTTGTGATGGGTCAATTAGAAGTGAGCCCTTTACTCCTAGGTAACCCTTGCATATTTTTCACTAAATTTGACTTGTAGCGCATTACTTATAGTTGATGTCCTAGCAAGCATCACTTCTACAAAATGACCTAGAAGCAAGTTTCAATTTTGGTTTATTTTATGGAACCCACAACCTTTCTCAGGAGTGGGAACTCTATTAATAAGAAAACTAATGGTGCCCTATTATTAAACATTACAACTTTTTTAATCAATATGGAATAATTTTATATAGTAAATAAAGTAAAGCAAAAGCTATAATTTCTTCCCATGAAGCACATACCTTCACCTGCTTCACATGAGGAATAGGAACAATGAATTCACCAACGTCCATGTCGCCAATTGATCTTGAGAGACACAAGCCACCAGGCCAACACCTGAGAGGTCCGATCTAGAAATAGATTTCATCAGATTCAGAACAAATAACATATCCAAATTTTAGGGAAAAAAATCTTTAGGAACTAAGATAAACTAGGAACTTCTTTTCAAACAAAATGATGCAAATGTTGCTTCTAAATCACCATGCACCATCGCTTCCAATCCACTACAGTTGTCATTACTGGAGTCAAATAGCGGCAACATTAGTCAGATAACCTCACCAAACCCCCTGCAGTCACAATAAAAGAAAAAGGGAGTTGCGAGAGGCCTTCTAGAATTTTGGAGGCGGAGGAGTTCTTGCAAGGCCAGGCACCAAAAAATTACAAATAAAAAAATAAAGTTACTAGTATTCATCTTGATGGTCACAAATAAGCCAGACGTCTTCTACCAATTTACCATGAACTAAAAAATAAAGTTAAAAGTTGATCAGCTGCGCCATCATTTAGGTAAGGGCTGGAGACGAGCAATTTGCATGAATCACTTGGTACAATCTCTCAAGGAAGTACATTAAGAATTCCCTTGCGGTTTCATAAAGAAGTCAGACTGCCACCACTATGGTAAATGCACAATAGAAACCTAATAACTTTGCCATTCCTCCCCCTCCCTCCCTCCCATTCTCCCTCCCTCTCAAACTGCCCACTCCCTCCCACACCCTCAATGACAGCTGCATGTTAAAAAAATAAAAAATATATTGGAGAAAATTATATTGAACGTATTGTTTGAACACACCCTTCTTTATTATTATAATTAAATTCTTACAAGTAGACCACCTAATCCTTTCCTTATAATGTATTAGAAAATATACTCATTTTTCTATTGATCCCGATCAGATCAAAATAATTTTAAACCACTGAAAAATCAAAAACAATCAAAAATGATTTCCAAGATCAGCATCATTATCCAAAACTTTTATCCAAGTCAAATAGTTCGAGTTAATTTTATCCAAATAAAAATTTAGGCAGGTTCCTCCAACTGTTTTTTTTTTTTTTTTCCTTGGAGAACAAAAATTAAATAAAAACAAGCATTAATAGGGGTAGACCACTAAAGCCAATCATTAATCTAGGCTTGACCATCCATGATGAGCTTTAGAGGGTAGTAGAATAGGCTTTCATGAGTTTGAATAGCCCATTTGGGCACCCCTACTGCCCCAGATCAAGCTGCATTATTACTTGCCCAAATCAATTACAATGTAAATTTTTCAGTTCATCGCTACTTAACCTGGATAGTGGTACAATGATCCCTGTTTTCTTCAGCATATTACTCAACAAATTGAAAACAAATATCCCAACACAAGTTTTAAATGAATCTGGACTTTAAACTCGGTTTTGTGCTTCAAAAGTGAAAGCACTGGCACAAGCCAAAAAAAAATTCTTTTTAGAGAAAATAAAGTCAGTATTGCATAGAAGATTTTGTACTTCATAGGAAAAAAAACTGTCTACTACACATCAGCAACCACTACCTTCCATAGCAGATCTCTGCATTACAATGCTTGGCCCAGCACATTTTTTAACATGACCCAACTCCTCCCTCTCAATCCCCAACCCTACAAAAGATTAACTGCCTTATCTTAGAAGGATAAGGCCTTCCAAACACATGAAAATGAGAAATTATCAATATATCCTTTTAAGTAAATCACCAAAGACAATTCTACCATCCATGTTATGTTAAAGAGCACAATTATCAGGATCATGTCGACCTTAAGCACAGAGAAAAAATGAAAGAGAAAATAGCAATTAAAAAGAACACATGCTGATGGACAAAGAGATATAATACTGTAGGTGCTAAAAAAATGGCTCGAAATTAATTACAGATCAAAAAAGTAATCTTTTAAAAATTGAAACACACCTCTGTTCCACCAGCAAGATTTAGTTTCCCAACCTCACCCCCACATGCGGTAATGCGTTCCACCCTGTAAGAGAATACATTAGGAAAAAAAAAACAATGGAACCTGAAAATCTTCTACAGCAAATGAAATTGAACTTACTCGTCCTTGTTTTCATCTAGCCTGTGATCTGCTGATAAAAGATAAAGTGAACCTTCAGCAGATTCAAGAATACAGCGTGAATCACCAACTGATGCTACTGTTACCGTCCAGCCATCTATAATCACAAATGTTACTGTCGTTCCTGAAGTTTTTGCTGTGTGGTTAAAAAAAATAATTTAGAAACAGAATTTTGTGACAAAAACAAATGTTTATTAGTATGGCAAAATTTTATTTTAAAAAAAAACAGAACGAAGCATTCCGGTATTTCAATATATTGATAGTCGTGGCACATCCACATGGTCCCTTAAACTGCTAAAATTTTCATTCATCTTTATAATCTTTATTAGCAAATGCCAAACAGGTATATATGCAGAGAACAAAAGTCCAAGGTATTAATGCTAGAACATGAGTATAAGGCGGAACGACAGGGTTAGAGATATTCTTGCACTTAAAAATTTAAAAGAATTATAAATTAATTTCCAACATCCAATCATGTCCACACCTTTAGTTTGAAAATCTTTATCTGTTTTAACAAATCCTGCAACCAAAGCTCGTGGTAGCGCTGCTAACCACTCATCTCTACTAACATCTGAAGGAATGGCACACAAAATATTGTTTAAGAGGTTCTCCTTGGCATATATGGCAGCTGCAGATCCATTGTGACCATCAAATAGCTGCAAAAAACAAATGCAGACGGTTGTCAATTGTGACTGGTAGTGCGCAGATTGTGTGGACAAAAATAATTCAGAACTCAGGAAGATAAAAAACAAATAACACTAAAATTAAAATTTGCCTAACCAAGCAACATCTTAAATTCAGCCGATTAATGTGACTGCTCGGTAGATTATATCAACAAAAATACTATAACACCAATTGAGCCGCTCTTAGCCTAAAACTAAATGATTTAAACCATTTGTATGATGAATTGTTAGCTATATGACAACAAGCACGATGCTTTTAAATCAATTCAGCAACTCTGCTTTATGCACCACGAAAAATATTGCCACATTGTAAGCGAAAGAAAAAAATATTACATTTTTAAGAAAAAAAATAAAAGCCGGGTCTAACTAGTGTCGGCAACAAACAAAAGTAGATTACACTGGCCATGCCAAGTGTACGCAGCTTGATAGAGTTCTTCTGAATCAAAAAAACTTTTAGCACCATATAAAGTAGAAAAATTGGCCTGAAATAGCTAGAACATGTGAAGATAAGAATTGTTCACGGTAACCTCTTTAACAGGACCTAATAACAACTCAGGCCTAATCCGTCAAAAAATTTCATTAAAAGAATGAAAAAGAAACAATACAAAGTAACAAGAAAATACAAAACCCTATCACAATGCAAAGGATAACTTCAAAACAAACTAGCATTTAGTCCCAACGCTGAGCCAGCATTTTGATAACGTTGCAGCATCAAAAATGTACTTTCATATCCACGTTTACAAACTGTAAGAGATGCTACACACACAGCAAAGTCAACTATGCCGCTAACCAATTATAAAAATAATAAAAAAAAGGTTATTTGATTCGGCCCAGGAAGTTTGCCAAAATTACTAATTAAATAAAATTAAATTTTCCACTTATGGAATCACCTTAATGAAAATAAAAGGAAAGAAACTAGCACACTCAATTAAGTTGTGTTATTATATATCATTCAGGCCAGATTCCTTCTAACATACTTATGTTCAACTAACTGAGAAAAACATGCCTCTTTTGATTCATATCTACAACAAAAGCTATAATGAAATCTCTTACCAACAATTCATGCAAAATCCATAAATATTTCGCTAAAGTTCCATAAGTCAGGTTAAAATTACTACGTGTTCATTTTTTTACACTTGACACCCTTTTTCATCAATCCAGCACACCAAGTAAACAGCATAACTTCAAAATTGCTTAAATCAATTTATCAAGAACAGGAGACATAAAAGATAAACCAGAACTTTTGAAACAAAGGCAATGTAACAAAATTAAGGTTTCCTCTTCCTAATCAACATCATGAGCCTTATCCCAAGACCAGTTATTTGAAGACAATCTACTCTGCAATATTATATTTGCACAACTTCTAATCATGTTTATGTTACCGAAAAAAAATTTAAGCCGAGATTCAATTCGAAGCTTAAGAAAAAGCTTAACGCTAAAATTAGGGGATCATTCTGTATCCTATTTTTGGCAGGATTTAAGAAGCATTCAGCTCAAATTCCGCCAAACAGACTTTTGGGGATTTTAAATCCTAGCATTTCAATAAATCTCATTCAATTCTAAAAATTCCGTCGCCCAACCCCCGTTGCAGACTAAAACAAACACAGAAAACAAGAACAACCATCATCAGAAACAGATCTTCGCATATCATCCCTATCAAGAGTTGCACTAGTTTCCCCTAAAATGGTATCATACATCCACCCTAATTCTTCCACCAACAGCCTGCTTCTATGAAAGCGGGACATAATTACGCAATCCGCAGGAGAAATATTGATGGAATTACCGCAAATACGGAGAAGGTGGTGACGCCATCCCCCGGCACCCGCTGGCACTCAGTCTTGAGAAAAGTGAAGTCCTCACCCTTCTTGCTCTGGTTGGCAAGACCATGGAGAATGTCAGGCTTCTCGATCTTCTCGCTAGACACCTCCCGCTTCAACAGAATCGAAAGTGGCATCATCCGATCGGCACAGGGGCTGCCGCCACCGACTCCCCCACTAGCCGACATCGAAGAAATTAACCCGTTACTCCTTTCCGCAGGCAAGATCGATCAATCGCGGAAGTGGAATAAACTCGATCGCCTCCTCGTGAAACCCGAAATCAAATACATTTTATCTGTAACGCATATTCGCGGAAGGAATTTACGCGCACACGCGTGGTCGATTCAAAGGTGGATTAATGAAGAACTTTTCGTTTTCCAATCTTTTCGGGTTCCTTTCTCTCCTGTTCTGTGCCATGGAACGGATCTCATTTCTGGCGCAAGTGATTCACCATACACGACCAGAGGCTAGCCCCAGAGCGATAACGTGCGTAGCGGAAGGCCGGCTGATGGTTGACATGGTAGTCGTGCGGCCAAGCTGGCGTCGACGTGAACTTGGTGAACTCTGAACTTGCCGACCTAACCTCAACGTATTCGATACCGGAAAAACGCGGTGTGTGACCCGATGTTGCACCCGTTGGACCCTAAACCCTAAAACATCGAACATTCGAACCGGACAGGGCTCTCATGGCTTCATAAATCGATTTTGCTCGAAATTAAAGACTTGGTTTTTTTTTTATTTGATAAAAAATGTGTAATTTCAATTTCAATTTATCTTTCAAGGTGGTTGGAAAGTGAGCCTTCATTTGAGAAGATATTCAAGTCCCATTAAGTTGTTCTAAATGCCAATATGCTGATTTGTTTTCTTTCTGTAAACTAGCATCTTTATCGTCTCCCGAAATTATTTCGCCCTAACATCTAATTTTGTTGGTTAAAAAGTCAGATGACAATACATTTTCCAGTCATGCAATTTTTAAAGGAGATTCGAAGCTCCTTCAAATGAAACATATATCTCTTTCTTTTCCAACTTTTTATCGTACATATATATATTTACGATATATATATATATATATATATAGAATAAAATATGAATCAACACAAACCATGAGAAGAACACAGAGATTTAACGAGGTTCGGCAAAGAATTGTCTACGACCTCGGGAGCGAGCGGCAGTTTCACTATCTCAGAGAAGTTACAATTATCATCCCATATGATTACACATATATATAGACATATACAAACCCTCAGATAAAATTACAATCACACCCTCGCTCTTCCCAACCCCCTATATTCCAAGAGACACTCCTTTTCACCAGGAGACACACCTCTTCACCAAGAAACTCCAACTCCCTAGATATGAGCCATACCTAACAATTATCCACTTTGGCGAATATCCAGCACCTTAGGAGATATGCTTCATCTGGTATATGTGCCTACCAAACAAATTTAATCCTCAGTGAATATTCAGCCCCTTTAGGAGAAAATCTCCACCTTGCGAATATCCAATCCTTTAGGAGAAAAAATCTCCACCTTGTGAATATTCTACCCCTTAGGAGAAATATCTCATGAAGTTTCTTATACCAAAGTGGGTTGGACAACCAAACCATCTAACCTGGCTTGGCTAAAGTTTCTGTTGCATTTTCACCATATGATTCAACAGAGCGATCTCCACATGCAACTGTACTTCCTATCAGTTTATAGATGTTATCTACAGTGATCTTCCATTTCATCACAGTCAGTGCACCCTTAACAATTCCGATGGTTTCCCTATCCTCATCTGCCTTAGGAATGAAATCATTTATGTGTAAAGTGCCCAAGAAAATCAAATTCTTCTTCAACTCTGGAACATGTCTGACATCACATAATGTTCTAACAGTATCATCTTAATTCTGACTTTATCAATATCAACAATATTGCAACGTCTATTATCACCCAAATAGACTGAACCAGAATCAGATAATTTGTATGAAGTAAATCACTCCCTGTTATGTGTTATGTGATAAGAACATCCGGAATCAAGAATTCATCTATCCTTTAACTGAGTTGTCGTAACTGAAAGTGCATCATTATTACTGTAATTTGTAATGTCACTCTGCACCATATTCACAGCCCTGGAAGATACATCATGAGTCTTCTTCTTGAACATTGGACAATCTCTCTTCATATGTCTATGTTCCTTACACTTAAAACAATGAATCTTCTTCCTTTAGGCTTTGACCTGGAACTTTGCCTTCCAGAATTCTCCTTCTCCTCCTTACTTTCACGATCTTGATTACCCTTAGCATATAAACAATTACCATGAGAGCTTTCATCTGCATTCTGCTTCCGCTGGTTGTGAGCCAATAATGTGGCAGCAATCTCATCAATTTTAATTGTTTATTTTCCATATGTAAAAGTAGTCACCAGATGTTCACAAGAAGTAGGAAATGAACACAAAAGAATCATTGTTCGGTCTTTATCCTCAATATTCACATCAAGTCGTGTCAGATCCGTGATTATTTGATTGAAGACATTCAAGTGCTGAACCAAATCAGTGTATGTCTGCATCTTCAGCCCATACACCTTTGCTTCAGATACAATTTATTCGTCCGAGATTTGGACATAAACTGAGATTCCAATTTCTTCCATACTTCTCATGGAGATTTCAGATTCATAACATGATACATAATCCCATCTGTGAGGCATAAACGTATGGTACCTGCTGCTCGAAGTTGTAACTCTTCCCAATCTTCATCTTCCATATTATCAGGTTTCGTAACCCGCAGAGCCTTCAAAATTATATGTTGTGCCAACAAATCTTTTACCCTTGTTTGCCACAATCCAAAGTTCCCGGTTCCATCGAACTTCACTATCTCAAATTTTGCTCCAGACATTCGTATTTGAAATTTAATCTTGCACCGTATTTTCCTGTATTGCTTCGAAAAACAAAAGAAAATACTCTACAAATAAATTCAAAGAAACCTGAAATTTTTCTTGTCAAATGCAGCAACTATCTCGCGATTTTCCTGTGATTCGTGAATCAAATTTTCCCACGAAGCACTTTTCCTGTTCGTACCAGTACATCGGTCAATTGCTGTTTCCGCGAGCCATAAATCCCTTCGCACATGTTCAAGGAATACTTCAACGAAAGTTTTGTTCACGAAATAATCGTGTCTGCTCGTCTCCTGCACCCAGTCGAACTCCACCTGTCGCAAAATCTCCTGCGAAGAACCGACAAATTTGACTGGTCAAAATTCCTCAAATTTTCTGCAAAACAAGGCTCCTGTTCGCGGTGGACAGCCTCTGTTTCACATGGATTGTTGAACCGACCGAACTCCTCTGTTTGCCTGAACTGCCGAACAAACTTTCGCAGAACTCTTCGTGGTTGCAGAACTCTCGGAAGAAACCTTCACACTCTTGTCCGCGCCTCGCGCGCGAAGCTTCCTCGAACTCTGCCCTCCCGAAATTGGCTAAAAGTTGGTTCCCTGGCCGCGGTTCCAACTCCTCGCGAAACCGCCTCCTCCGCAGCAGAACCCTTGCACCCGCGAATCTCCACGAATCCTTCTCTGGTTCGCAAATCCGTCCCACCCTGTAGCGGAAGAGAGCGAACCGTAGATCGCTCCTTCGTCAAACTCCTGACGAACTCCTACGTGAACTGCAGCACTGCCGCCAAACTCCGCGTCGCCGCAACTCCTCTGTCTGGTTCAATCGCGTCGCGAATCCTTCTCCTGTCCGCAGAAACTACAGAAACCGCCCAAACTTTCTTCTCAAATCTTCTTCCTACGTCGATATCCTCATGTTCCCTTGAAAGAGACTCTGATACCAATTGTTGTGAAAATTGAAGTGGAATTCAACAGGAATCGACACAAACCAGAAGAAAAACATAGAGATTTAGCGAGGTTCAGCAAAGAATTGCCTATGTCCTCGAGAGCGAGCGACAGTTTCACTATCTCAGAGAAGTTACAATTATCATCTCATAGGGTTACACATATATATAGACATATACAAACCCTCAGATAAAATTACAATCACGCCCTCGCCCCCCCCAACCCCCTTTATTCCAAGAGACACTCCTTTTCACCGGGAGACACACCTCTTCACCAAGAAACTCCAACTTCCTATATATGAGTCATATCTAACACTAAATTGCTAGGTCATTTACATAAATGCCACCCAACTCTTATGTAGGTACATATCTAATTCCTAATGCCCCGTTTGGGGCAGCTTATTGGTGCGGTGGGCATTTTGAAAACGTCTTCTTTGTGTTTGTTTCACATGTATTCTCTCAGTGATTTCATATCGCTAAACGCTATTTCATGTCGTTACTTCATTATTCGCGAATGCCCTTCAACCCATACTTTTCGCGTTACGTTAGAGCGTATTACCTCCAGCCCCTCGATCAATCTCGTCCCCGCCGTGTGCCTCGCTTCTTCTCCTCTTTGATCTCTCACCCTTCTCTCGCGAGATCGAAGCCATCCAGGTAAGAGGAGATCGATTTCTCTCCAGCCCCTCAATTTTTCTCCTAAGCCATCCCATCGAAGTCGGCTCCAACGGAGTTGTAATTCCGCTATACCGCAGAGGCGTAGGGCGGGTGTGTGATTCCCCTTCGGCATCTCCTTTAGCTTCGTCACCACTAAGTGTAAATATCTTAAAAATAAATTCTTTGAACAAGATTTCTTACAAAGCTTCTGACATATTGTTATTGTTGAGTTTTGGAGTCCGGTTCGATCGCTCTCGCTCCCGCTCCCTCAATTGTGAAATGTCACGACAGCTCCTGCCTCTCTTGTTCACGAACTGCTCCTCCAACTCTCGCTGACTTTCATGAATCGTCGTGCCTTCCGTCTTGTTTGCGATAAAAGGCACGGCTCCTTCAGTTTCTAAGCACAATTTTTTGTGTTCTTCTTCAAACTTTCTTAGGATAGATGAAGAGAAGTTTATCTTCTTCGGTGTATTTCAGTGTAGAGAAAGAAGAAGAAAGAGCAAGAATGTGAGAGATCCCATTTATAAGTCAAGACGATCGATTGGTGTATATTCCTAAAGTAGTAAAATCATTTGCAACTCCGTGAACGTAAGTGATTTGTCGAACCACTTAAATCTATGTGTTTTGTTGTGTTACTCTTTTTTGGTGTGAATTTTCTTGTTCTTTTTTTTCACTTTGTCAAATATCGTTCCTCTATTTTTACATATATACCACAACAGCTAGTATCAAAGCCGTGCTTCATATTTGAGAAAGAATGATGGCATCAGATGAAGTGAAAATTTCAGAGATTGAGAAATTTGATGTTACATATTTTGGTTATTTGAGGATGCAGATAGATGACTACCTCTATGGGAAGAAACTTCATCTTCCGTTATTTAGGAAAAGATTGATATGATGGATGAGGCTGAATGGAATTTGTTGGACCGACGGGTTATAGGGGTTATCGTTGCACACAACGTCGTCAAGAAGAGGAAGACTGCAGATCTCATGGCATCCTTATCAGGTGTGTATGAAAAGTCATCGAGAATAACAAAGTGTACTTGATGAAGAAGTTATTCAACTTGAAGATGGTGGAAGGTGTTCATATTGCTCAACACTAGAATGATTTCAATATTATCACAAATCAATTATTGTATGTTCAAATTTATTTTGATGATGAGATATGTGTGTTGTTATTGTTGGCATCATTGCCAAATAGT